TTACTTCTCTCTCTCTCTCTCTCTCTCTCTCTCTCTATTCCCTTGCAGACGAGGCGTGCAAACACGGTTGCAAGCAACAAATCGTACTCGTGCAAGTCGATAACGAACGTCCGTTCCACTTTGCGGAGATTCTTCATCGAGATTTTTTTAACACGGATAAAAAACGAAGGGGATGAGCAATTTTGGACGAAGATTTTTTTTTTTGCGTGTTTTTTACGTGATGTAAATTGACAAACCGTTTAATCCTCGCATCGGAAGAGGGAATATTTTCCATATTATTCGATTTCTGATTTTAACAATTTGCTGATTGTTGAACAAATTTTCAATACTTAAAACGAGTTATATAATTGTAAATACAAATGTATTAAAACAAGGGTTAGAATGTTGAAATAAATTTCTATTTTCCAACCCTTTCAAATCTAACGTTGCACTTTTTTTTAACCTATTACTTCAAGCGAGCGATAAAAGCAGATGTATCTTTATAGATATTTCGTAAAAAAAAAAAGAAAACCTTAAAAAACACTTCTTTTTTATTTCTTTCAGGAAAAGTATTACCTATGATCATCGATCCTATCAACCGCTTTACGCCATCGTTGACTCGAAAACTTTTCACACAATTTCAAAAAAAAAAAGAAAATAAACGAAAAAAAAATTAAGAATCAAACCATCGATTCTCTCATCGTCACAAATTGTCCAAGCGCAATCCGTCCCTTTTCGACGAAAATCGAGAATCGACAGTCATCAAAACTCTCGTTCATATTCGTCGCACAGCCATTCTTTGTCGCCGGGGCAACTCCTTCGGCTCCGAGTCGAAAAAGCGGGGAATCCTCGAGAGGAAGATCTTGGGGGACAAGCGTTCCGTTCCTCGCGCAGATCGAAGTGGCTCTTCCGTGGCCAGGAGTCGCGGAGAGAATTGAAAATCCGCGCAATCGGTCACGAAGGAGAGGCGGTTGAAGAGGACGGCAGAGCTCCGATTTTATCCCCGGGCACCAGTCGTCATCGTCCTCGTCGTCGTCGTCGTCGTCGTCGTTGTTCCACCCCAATTAGGGTGGAACTTTGCCGACGTTCGCCCTCTTTTCTCTTTTCACCCTCCCCTCTCTCTCTCTTCGCCACCCACGCGACCCTTGCTCGCGATCTCTCGATCCTCGTCCCTTCGAAGGGAGGGGGTTTCCTCTCTTTCCGTTCTCTGGCGACGGTGACGTCGACGCTCTCGATTTCACCCAAAGCCGACGCTAACGAGCACATGGAAGTCACGTGGAAATACGACGTGGACGTAGCCAGGAGGGAAAATGGAAAGGGGGATGGAAAGGGCTGCGTGAAAAAAGCCGTGACGGTCACGTGGATCTGACAGGTGAGAAACTTGTGTACACGTTTTCGGGATAATGGGGCTGCTTCCTGGATCGATTGGAAGACATTCTTTTTTCTTTCTTTCCCATTTTGAAGAAATTTTCGATTCTCGGGAAATGTGGATTTTTAAGTTGAAGTTAAGAGGCTAACTTTGGCAAAAAATTATAAACGAAGTTAATTCACAAGAGAGAGAGAGAGAGAGACGAGAAGAAAAAATTGTAGACGAAAGAAAAAAAGTAACCGTTTAAAAATAAACGCTCCACCACCGGAAAAACAAATCCTTTCACACCGATTAACCGTGAAACCGGATTACACAATGGACGATAATTGACGAAGTCGAGGATCACGAGGCGCGACATACGGCGTGGTGAAATCACGCGGAGGGGGGAAAAAAAAAGAAAGAAGAAAAAAAAACACGGGGGGCGACAATTGATTGCGGTGCGCATAAATTCCCTTGATGTCTTCATATGGCGGCGATCGGGGAAGGGTTGGGGCGCGCGATAAATTGCCAGGGGTTGAATTCGAGATTCTACGAGTCGATACGGAAAAATAAACAAACCCTTTGTGTTCCTCCCCGATTTACCTCTTCCCGATGTGTTTGCCGATGGCTTTTCCAACGGGCGGACATATATCGTTCGTTAGAGAGACGTCAATTTTATGGAAAATTTTATTTCGAAATAGTATTTCGTAGAGGGAAAGGATAATTGCGAGAAAAAGATGAGACGCGGATAGACTTGTTGGGAAGAAACGGCACGGCCGGCGTTAACGAAGATGAATGATTTCTGAAAGTCCACCAGGCTTCCGGCCTGGCTGAGATTTCCCTGATTGAAGGATCGGTAATCGGTTCGTTAAGATCGTTAAGAATATTAAAGGAGTAGAGATTTGTATCTATAGGTGAATGGATATTACGCTTACTCTCTGCGAATGAAATTCAGATACAATCGAGTCTAGACTCTTCTCTCGCTCATTTCACTTCGACAACTCTTTTTTTTTCAATTAATTCCTATTATTGAGAATTTCCTCCGTATTCTTTTCTATTATTATTATTATTATTATTATTATTATTATTATTATTATTCATTATTTTCATATGGAGATTCGGACAATTGAATACACAGTTCAAAAATTGCTCGATTCGATCACATTCGAGATTTGCAAAGTTAAAGCAAGAACAAACGTTAAACGAAAGAAAGAAAGCATCCTTGCTCGTCATCCTGAATATCCGCATCCGGAATTTCAACGAATCCGCCTCGAATCCCCGCTGAAAACCCACTAGAAATCTCGAAAACCCTTGACACCATTCGCTGCTCACTTCGTCTCCCCACTCGACACGAAACAGATTTCGGCCGTTCGTTCGCTCCTTTATTTATCTATTACACACACACACACACACACACACACACACAGGATTGGAACGGGATCATCGAGATCAGGACGAAGGATTAAGACGAAGCGCCAACGTGGGACGGAGCAGAGGGGTGGGGAGCGAGGATGGGTCGTGATCGAGGGTAGCATATGTTAGGGGTTTCTGGTCCCTCGTGGGGGTTGCGGGTAGAGTGGGCTACCCCCCCAATTACCGGCCCCGGCCTCTTTCTCTGGCCTGTTAGGCGGGATCGGCCCCTCCAGAAAGTACTTCATTACGCAGGCAGCCGTGTTGACTTGTATTGTTCCGCTGCCTCGAGACGAGGAGGAGGGAAGAAAGAGACATCCCCTTCAAATAATATCTGTGACGAATCGCTGCAACCCTAACCGTGCAAACCCACCCCTCCTCCATTTGTTTCCGCGAAACCTATCATCGCCGAGACGTTGATTCTTTCCTCGACGATAAATCTTCCTTCTCTCAACTCGTTCTTCTCTCGAACCAGTTTTCTCCATTGGAATCTTCTAGTCTAGGCTACTCATATCTTCCAAAATTGGTTCTACATGTTTTTCCAGTTCTTCCTTCGTCCACCGACTCTGGTAAATATATAATATAATCGAGAGAACGAAATGTAAAAAGGATTAATTTAAGAATCCTTTCTCTCGAAATTTAATCTTGAGACAAATAAAATCTGTCTTCTTATAAAAATTTGCAAAATATATGTAACACGAATAACATTATATACGATATTAAAGGATCGAGCAAATTTCCACGAATCGCAAGATAAACTTAGCTTAACGAAAAACCTTGGAATAAATATATATATATATATATATTCGAATCCTCCTCCCCCCCCCTCAAATCGAACGCGATCTCGAAAAGCCGACAACGAGGCGAGTTAGTCCACGATTCCTCATTGATAAATCGGGCCACGGTTGAACGAGATCGACGAGCGATATACGCGTGGCTTACAAGCATGGCAAACAAGTCTACGACTGCTCGGCCGCGACTAAGTATTTGGCCAAACACACGTTTTAATCCGGCTTGCAAACAGGCCTAAGGGGTTGCTTGTTTAAGGAGCGGGCGCCGTGGTAATCGAGATAATCGTCGCTACCTCCGAGCGAACGGTTGGCAAGGTGTCGGCCACGCCGAGTTATAACACTCGCGATACTTAACGCGCAGGTTGCGATCAGGTGTGGCCGATAGCCTGTGCGCTGCGTGCACGATATAACCGTGGTGGTTGCCGTGTTAATTGTCGATCACGTACACTCTCCGGCCGCTCGTGTGCACGGCGAATTTTGCGCTTGTTGGCGCAAACTTTACATTTTAATTAAACGGATTTTTCATTTTTTCTGCGCGGATTGAGCGATCAAGGAGGTTGCGCGACTGGTTTCGCGTTGTTGTTCCGCTGTAATTCTTTTTTTTTTTTTTTTTTAATTCGTATATCAAATTTGGCGATAATTACGACGCTCTTCCTTTTCTTCTTCTTTTTTCAGCGTTGATTTATAGAATCGTTGATCGAACGATTGCGTTTCACGGGGAACGGAAAAATAATAGCGCGAGGAGTAATCTCGATCAATTAACACACGTTAACGCGTACTTTTAAATCGTAATAAACTTGTAGTAATTGTAACGAGAAGAGTTGTTCAACAACAACAGCAACACCTCGCGCCGCATTAAAGTTTAATTACACGCGATTCTAAACGCGCGCGTATCTCTATTTAGGCCTATTACGTTGATAATTGTATTTAACGTAATAACAGTATATTATAATTAATTGAAGAAATACGATGTGATTGAAATACGATATCTGTGTAAATAACATGCGCCACCTCCAGACAAATTGCAGAATCACGATTTCACGAAAGAAAATGGTACGGCGCGAACTCTGCGTACGCAATCTTCATCGATTTCTATGCGAAGAAATCGGTCGGCCGATCGAAAAGTGGCGCAACTGGATCTCTCGAGCTGGGACGATTTCGACGGAGGGTCGAAAGCAGGTGAGCGAGGAAGCGACCCAGCTGATTAATGATGCGCGATCAAAGTCAGCGTGAGAGGATCAGGAGCGGGTCATAAAGGCAGCGTTTAACATCACGCAATGCCTCATCATTCCTTCGCTATAAATCAGTCTAAGCGGATCCCGGCTAGAGAGGGCATAACCATTTCTTCCCTCCCCTCGTTCCACCAACACCTTTCATCCACGTCCATCTTACGCCACTCGTTTCGTTCCAATAACAATATTGTTGTTCGACGCTTCATGAACGGCTAATTAACGGATCTCGTTGTGTCTCGAGGCGATTTCGGCTCGTTCGTTTTTCGCGTCGAACCCGCGCTGTTTCGATCTCGTGCAACTCTCGTGTAATTTATTACAGTGACAATCGTGTTAACGCAACGGTGAAAAGGGAAGAGAAGGGGAAGGGGGGAGAGGAAGAAGAAAGAAAAGGAAGTAATAATAAATCGTTAGGTCATCGTAGATCCCCCTCGTGGATCTCGTTATAGCAGGGTTGGTAACGAGCTTTACGATTTTACAAATTCGTCAGATGGTAGATTGAAATTGGAAAGACGTAGACGAGGTAGATCGTAGAGTGTTGGACGAAGTGATCGATAGAAGGATGGATAAATAGATTGGGATGCGAGAAGGATACGTAATCGGTTGGAGAGAAAGCTTTCTTATTTCTTGCTATGAAAAATTCAAAGATTCCTTCGGAATAATGCCCGGCGCACAAAGGGACAAAAGTTACGGGAAGAATACTGAATTTCTATGAGTTTCAAAGAAACCTTGTTTCGTTCCTTTTCTTCTTCAACGGGGAAGCGTCCCTTCTTTTTATCCTTCTTTTTACTCCTCCTAGTTAATCCTTTGATACCCCAAAGAGCAAACTTCTTTTTTTAAGAAGATATTCCCTCTGCGAGATTTCTTCCTCCTCCTCCTCCCTTTTAAGGGAAACTTTGCGAAATACCAGACGAAACGATTGTCTATCAATCTACTTGCGTAATTTCCATTAAGATTTTATATTCAGAAAAATCTTCTCTTCCCCGAAAAAATCCTCGAGTTCGAGTACAGATTAGTCCCGATTATTGCTCGCCCTTTGTACACCCTTTCTCGGTATCGATCGAACACGCCTTCACTTTCTTGGTTACGCGCCACCACCTGCTGGTTGCGCAACCTCGAACGGCCGATTTCTCCCTCGATAATAACATCGAGCGTGTTCAGCTCCTCCCGCGGCGGGTAATCACACGCCATTGAGATTGTACGAGATGGCACAATGGCGGATGCCACCGCGCCTCTCCAACGGAATCCTCGAAATGATTAATGTTGGCGCGGTGGATCCGCGCTCACGTCTTAATTCCGCGACATAATGGCCTTAACGATTCGACGGCGTCGTGGCGACGAGAGAAAGCGGAGGCGTGTCGTTCGTTAGACACCTTTTGTCGATCGAGTTTTCGACGCTTTGGCGCTTTCGCCTCCTCACCGACTACTGTCGCCGTTCTCTCTTTTTAATTTTTGCTCCTCCATCTCTCTTCGCGATGCTTCTTTTCTTTCTCTTCTTTTTCATGAAGTTTTTCGGTTTTCTCATCCGGATGACTCGGGATGACTCGTAACAGTTTTTCAATTATTCAAGCGTGTTTACGAGTTTATGATTACGATCTCTAATTTTCTTTCTTCGTTCACACGGATTATATTCCAAATATTATATAACTATTAAATAACTCCAAATAAAGAGTAGCTCTTTCTCCAACGTGCGTACAACGATTTGAACAAATTATTCTTACTTAAAATTCTCGAAACTCACGTATATACGATCGATTAAGAAATTTAATTAAAACACACTTGGAATACAACCAGATTAATTGCTTACTCGAATTCAACGATAAAACCGTACGTTTCCTCTTCAACAAACCGTGCCACTCGCTCGTCTAAGCGTCCGGTAGTAACCGCTCCAAATAATACAATTTCGCGAGTGAAAGACGAGCGAGAAAGACGAAAAGGAAGAGAAAGAGGACGAGTCTCCCCTGGCGCGCGATTTCGAACGAATCGGCGCGACTTCGAGGAAACTGGATCGAGGAGAGAACGCGCGCGCGGCATTCGTGATCGATCGATCGAGAGGGGCCAATATCCGATCACGATAGGACGACAAGCGCGACGATCGAGTGGGGGGGGGGGAGTGGTGGTCGATTCGCTCGGATGAAAGGCGGCAGGCAGCGTCGTCGGTGAGAGGAGCGCGCGACCCGATTCGCTTCCAACCGAGGGTGTCACTTTCTGTCCACGATTGTTGCCGCCGAATATGGTCCACGCAGCGAGTTCGGTCCACGAGCTGTCGCTCTGAGGGGCAAAATGGAGTTGCTGGAATAGGAATAGCCGGGTCGACGGTGAAGGGAGATTCTTTTGTCTGAAACCGTTCTCCCAGAGATGAAAATGGAAGAGCTCGTGACGATATTTTCCTGCGAGATATAAGAAGAATAACGCGTTGGATATTCTGTGTCTTTTTTTTTGGGCTTTTATACAATTGTCATCTTGGAAATTTGTTGGAGGGCTAGTTAGTCGAAGTTATTAGATTTCATTAAAGGAATCGAATCGTTAATCCTGAAGAAACAAAAAATTGTCGCGAATTAAAGAATCAGGATCTCGAGTCCTAAATCCAAAAAAGAAAAAATTAACATCGAAGATTATGGATCCGCGTCTCTCGATCACGATCAACCGCGACAAGAATCAAAAAGAAAAGAAAAGGAAAGAAAAGAAATCCTAGACGCAGATCGGAGGATCGTCGATTCGATCCGGTGGTCGCAACAAAGAACAATGGCGCACGGTGGCCAGCGCGGATAGTTCGTCATTGTTCCGTGGCTCGTCCGAGATCCACCCAAGACGTTTTGACCCCGCAGCGAGATAAGAAACGGTCGGCTCCCTTTGATTCGAGCGGCGGAGAGAAAAAGGGGTGCCGCGATGCGGATCAGAAGGGAGGGGGTCGAAGGCGATCGGGCCGAGTTACAAATGGACCATTTCGATTCGGTCATTTACCGCAGCATGGACACTTGGTACTGATACTGATTCGAGCCGGCGATAGCCCCATCTTCGACCGAATCTCCCTTCGATTCTCCGGGAGGACGCTTCGTTTTATCGTTCGGAATCGTTGTGAACTGTGAATTGGCAATTCGGGAAAGAGCAGATTTTGCGTGACGTGGAGAAGAGGAGGAGGGAGCTTATTGCGGATAATCATCCGCTCGATCCTTTCACCCCGTCGAATATATATATATATACACTTCTCTCTGAATTATACGGTTCCCGATTTTCAGATTTCAATGGCTCGAAGTTAATTTCGCTTCACGTCTCTCCACTTCGCTTTCTTCCATCTCGAGTGGTTACGTAAAAATATTCCTGCAACTTCATCCGAAGACGCGACAGTGACGGCGCAATGGATTGAAGCATTTATCCCATCCTCGGGCAAACATAAATTATTACCTTCCTCTTGTCCAGGCGAAGAGGCTCGACCTTCGATAAGAACCTTCCCCTAAGCGGCCGAAAATCGGCGATCGAGCTTCCGTACGCAGGATTCCTCTCTCACGAAGCATTCTCCCTCGCTCGAATCGTCCTAGTCATCGTCCAGATCCGACCGAGGGTGACTGGCAAATCCTTCGAGGATGTCAACGAGTCCCGTACAGATCCTCCTCCTCCTCCTCCTCCTCTTTGTTCCTTCTGTTGCACTCCTCCCTCTCTCTCT